TCATTTCTTAAATCTGATGACCTTGGTTAAGCAGACAAGATTATGTCGTATTTCAGGGCTTATAGTAATTCCTTGAAAGTTTTTAAACTCTCTTAGGTGTTTAGCCTTATTTTACATTGTAAGTAAAAAGGCTGTGAACTCAGCTGTGTATGGCTTTTGGCATGAAAATAAGAGTTGCCCCCAAAACTTGAAGATATTAGTAATGATGCATTTTCCTGACTCCCACAAAGTTCTCCGCCTAACTGCCTCATTGGCTATTCCTTAACTTCTCACCTTCAGGTTCATCATTATGTTTATTCTGGTAGTAAGCAAATGGCCAAAGCCAATTAAAATGTTAATTCCTATTGAGATAGCAAAATACAGTTTTTTGAGAGATGGAGAGAACAAAAGGATCTTTCAGAAATGTTTGTTATGTTCTAGAGACATGTTGACTCTTAGCTTGACTTTTAGAGAGATCTGTGAAGCTTAGACCAGAGTTTATATAGTCTTTAAACAAATCTTTCATATGGATTTCCTAAGGCTGTTTTGCTTCTGCTTTGTGAAGTAACCAGTTTCTTGCTTTTCTTTGTTTTTGGAGAGGTCTGCTTGACCTTAATTTTTCATGTTTTCTTTCAAAATAACTTTCTTTAATGGATATTATTTTGTTTATATGCTTTGCAGAAGAAAAAAAGAGATAATAAAATTCAAAATAAACATCTTATACTCCCCATCTCGTTTTTTAGCCTTTGTCTAGAATGAAATAAGTGGCTAAATGTTTAATGTTCTTTAAACATGGCTTTGTGGATGTGGTTGATGTAGATATTGTGTACATTTTCAAGCCTTAATAAAGGTCTTCTGCCTTTAATAATCAAAAGCCTGGGATACAGATAATAGATCTGTATGGTGCTGATAGAACTCAAATGAGAAACAGCATTTTTGATGAGTAATACTTTGAGAACATTTTAAATGGGTTTAGATTGCATGTATTGATTTTAACAGGGGGGTTTGAGACAGTTTCAAGCTATTTAATACTTTTTTGTTGAGAAGTGATTGGGAGGTATGCTAATATACTTTAAAAAAAATCTTTGGATGAGAGGGCCTTTAGCAAGAGAGTTTGTTCCCTTGTTACACTTCTGTTGTTCCTCCTATTATGTTTTGTTAATTTGTTAATGTTAATTTTGTGAATTTGTTTCATCATGTCATCAGCCTCTGACATAGAACTAGAGAGTTTTCTTACCTCTGCTCTTTTTCTTGAAAGGTTCTTGTCAAAATCTTCCTTTTTCAGATGATCAAGAACTTATATCTCAGTTTTACTCAGAAATGGATGTTAAATAATAACTTAAAAATTATTTAGAAGTGTTTAAAGGATATTTATAACTTCTTTCAAAGTGCATACTGTGAAGATGTGAAGTCTTTGAAGCGGATGTTACTTACTTCATGAAAAACTAACCTAGATTTTCTGTTTGTATTGCCAGAATATTTCTGAAAAGATTGTTTCTCTAGCAGTGTTTTAAGTAAACTTGCTTCAGAAAAAGCTTAAAATGACAAAAATTTTAAAGGCATAAAAAAGCATCACTGTAGTATGCAAAAGTACAGTTAGTGTATTTTTTAGTTGCTCTTCAATCCCTACCATCCCCATGACTAGTTAATTCTTCCATCTGCAAATTAAATATGCCCTTTAACACTAGCAGTGTTAGCAGTGGCTAGCTCGTTTCCTCTTCCTTGGGTTAGCATCAGAGGCGTGGGTTTGTAAGGTCCAGCTGGAAAAGCATGCTGAATAGAAATGGCTCAGGACTTTCAGAGGTCTGCAGAAAATTCAGGTTGTCCTCCCTAATTCTGTGTTTAGTTGCTTTGTTAGATATCTTGTCCCAAATGTAAGGAAAGTTTAAATGTTAAAGCATGTCTGTTTTTATTTGAGAAGGAGAGAAGGATTTTGCTTAAGTCTTTTTTTAATTTTTTTTTTTTTTTAGGATGAAACCACAAAACAATTGGGTTCCTAATTCAGTCATAATGCATCATTACTGGAAAATGCAGAATGTGATCAGGCAATTTGGGCAGTCTAGTGATTGTTTCATTGATTTGTAATAGTCACATCACCATGATGATACTCTGACTATAATTTTGGCCGGAGTAGGACACTGTGCAGCTGTTGATTTAAAGAGCATGTGTGGTACAGATTAAATAAAAGGATTTGTTAATTGCTTATGATATAACAAAACTCCTCAGTTGCCATCTCTAGACCTTCAGGAAAAGATAACTGTCTTGTCTCCCTTGGCAACATTCTCTTCCACTTCTGCCAGAAGACAGCTTTGTTTGTAAATTTAGGATTTTACAGGCCAGTGTGTGGTAATCTGGGAGCAATAATTCAAATGCTAATAAATACTCATCAAAAGTTGTTACTTATTAAGCCAGCTGACATTTAGGAAGAATAGCCTGAACTTTACAAGTGATTGCTAAGGAGCATGCCACTGGTTAGAGCATTTGATTAGCAACCACATGTCAGGGCTCCAGGGCACTCTTGTGCCTCAACCTTCCCTGAGTTCTGCCCATGCTGTTGCCTGGAGATCCAGAAGTGTATTTTAGCTCAGGGTGGTGCCATCAGTCCGTGTTAGAGCTGTGTTGCCACTCCCCACTGTTATGGTGTTGACCTGGAGTCTGCCTGTGTCTGATGGTCACTGGGCTGCCCATGGGACCCGTCCTTCTCATCATCTGCGTGCAGATAACAGGTTGTTAGGCAGTGCTGGCCCCAGGGTGCCGCTGCTTTCTGAATCACTTCTTGTCTGGTTCTTCTCTCTGGTGGCCGCCTAGAACAGCTCTATGGCCAAAATGGAGCCAAAGAACAATTTTAGTGGCTGTTGATGTACTTAGTAGAGATACTGCTGCAAAGCTTAGGTTGCCTTGAGTTGGTAGAGGGTTGTGCTGAGGAAGACTGAAGCTGTGGTGTAACTCATGGTGCAGCTGTGGGAGGGGGACTTGCGGTTTTGCTTTGTAGTCCCTGTGACTCAAAGCTGCAACTCAAGAAGCATGTTGTAAGTGAACTTGTTAAGTGCTTTTACACTGCCTTTAAAATAAACAATTTATGTCCTTTTATCCTCGTGGATAATGCTAAAGATAAGGACTCCCACTGACTTCAGTGAATGTGGGATCAGGCTCATGGCTGATGTTCTATATTGCAAACTTCAAATAAAGATTTATACTTAGTTGAAACAAACCCTAGAAGCCAAAACAAATTTTAGATAAGAAATTTACTAGAGCCAAATTTGCATGTTTTTTGCTTTGGTTGCTAATGACTGGCTTGTTTAAGAAATGTAATTTAATTTCTTTACCACTCAGTGTTATTGTATTAGGTAAAAGCTAAGAGGGATCTTTCATGTACAGTGCAGGTCTTTTAATACTTCTGTATTTATTCTGTTTGGTTTTGTGAGAATTTCTAGGATTATAACAATATATTATTTGGTTTAAATATTTTAATGATGTATAAAACTATGCTGTACTGCTTTCTTGGTTAAGGTGGTGCACTGGGAAAACAGGGATCAGTGTATTAGAAGTACATCTGGCTTTTATTAAGTGTAAACTTCAGGACAGGTGCATTAGGGGAAAATATTTTTGTAGTATGAAATAGGATTATTTTTTTTGTTCTCTTTGAAGCAGCTTGTAAATTAAGCTGCTCTATATGACTTTTAAATTTTCTTTAAACTACATACAGATATAGATATATAGCATGATCTTCTAGATTGAACAAATTAGGTGGTATTAGAAAAAGAAAAACTGGAATCTTTTTTCTTTTGTAGATTTGTGTTAAAGCAAAAATAATGAGCCTGAGAAGAAATGTTAAAAAAATCTGTTATATATCTTGAGCTGTTAGCTTCCTGTGGTGTTAAGTATTCTCATTAATTTAGAGGGCAATTTTACTTGTGAGTAGTTTTTTAAACCTCCTATCAGTGTATCCCTAAGGAGCATATTTTTTCCTTCTTGTTTTGCTGTTATTTCTGAAGGTAGCCTTAATGACGCCTATGAAATACTACTTTCTTTTTTCATTTTATTTTATGTTCTACGTTGATAGCAAAAGACAAAGAACCCATTGAACACATTATTTCTATTCATAGTGACATAATTGGTCATACAAACCTTCTTGAAGTAAGCAAATATTTCTTTGATTTCAGTACTTGCTGTTATATAATACATGGAAGTATCACACAGTAGTATATCTGAAGAAAAAGCTACTTGAAAAGGATGTTTTAAGATACAGCAGATATATCTGTGTTCTTTTTTTATAGTATTTGTTCTGAGTAGGCTAAGTATACCCACTTCCTACTGTGTACAAAGACAGGGTATGTGACATGGGAATGTTACCAAACACATTGTGTTCTCTTAGCAGTATCCAGTATATTTGATTCTCCTGTTGACTGTAAATAAGAGAACTTTAAATCAATGGCTCTGCTTTTTTTAGAGACTCTTTCTCCCTTAGTTGTGCTAAGACATTTATCCCTTGGAAATGAAGAAGGAGCTAAAAATGAAGAATGTAGTGTTTCCACCTTTTTCGGAGGGGGTGGAGTTAATGCAACCAAACTTACATCTAGCTGAGTAGAAAGGAAGAAACAGATTTTATGTGGTTTTGCTAGCTGTTGTAGAAATCTGTTTGAGCTATTGCAAAATCTGCAAGACCTCCTGAGAGAAAGAATGAAAGCATACATGTATTTTTCCAGTTTTGATTTGTTTGGGAGGATTTGACGTGTTGCAGCATAACGGAGGTGCCTGTGTGGTGATGGAGTAATGGAAGGTGTGTGGACTGTCTTCTTGTTAGTTTTGTCACAAATGTGGTGACAAAAAGAAGACTTTTAAGATATAATACTTGTTTTCCTCTTTTTTTCAAAGTTTTGGTATTTTTTTAGTTTTTGTGCGCCCATGAGGAAGAACACAGCTGTGCCTTTGGCAAGTGGATGGCTCTGAAAGAGAGGCTTTTCTATAGCATTCTCTGTGCCCTGATCCTGTCTTACCCTGCCTGTACTACTCTTTTTTAGGGAGCTCAGACTCCAAGCAAGGCAATTTTCCATAAAAACACCACCTAATGGATTATGCAGACAATCAGGTTTGTTTACGTGTTCTTAAAATTGATCCTGCATTTTTTGGTACTGAGTTTAAGGAAAACAGTTTGGCCCTTTTTTGTCTTGAAAATAGTCTTTGCCTCTGTTAACACTGCTGTATTTTCATTGCCATGCTAACTGTTTTTGAGACAGAAAAGTTGAAGAAATCACAGCTGCTTGGTCCAGTTGGTGTCTTTGGTGTTGTTCCCTTTTTTGTTCCTGAATGAATATTCGATGTGACAGGAATTCAGAGGCCATTTTAAGCTGTGCTTGACTTTGCAGTGTGCTTAGTACACTTTCCTTTGTCCTCAGAAGCACACTTTGTTGGAAGTTCTGCACCAGCTTTTTCTGTTGTTAAGCCATCTTCACTAAGAGTGAACTGACTTTCTGTCTCGCTTTGTTCATTTATGAACAAAGGTTGTTCATAGATCTTGTCCTGATGAATGTATAAAAATGCAGGTTTTGCTATTACTGTGGGAAATTCTGTATTTCAGTATTGCTGAATCGACCTAACCTTACTTTTGTCACCTTAATTTATTACTTTTTGGTAGTGGGGATACAAAACTGCTCAAGATTTCTGAAAGTGTTGGCTGAAGATGAATAATAGTCTATTTGTAGGATCTTAGCCTGTAGACATATCTCAGGATATTCTTGACCTTCCTTGTTGCCAAGGCTAACTGTTGGCTCATGTTTAGACCACTTTCTGCCCAGATTCCCAGTTCCAGTTAAGGAAGTGTGCTCTGGGTAGCCAGTGCCCAGTATCTCCAAAGTATTAGTCCATCTCAGATACAACAATTCATGTTTGTCCTTGCTTAATTCCATGAAATAGGGTGACAGAAGTTTAGAGGTTAATTTTTGGAATGACCAGGCTATGTAGTTCAGGTTTTTATTGCAGTGGCTTGGGAACTTTTGGATTTCTTCCTAAGTCATATCTGATTTTAAAGGGTTATTATAAATTGCCACAGAATATACAAATAATCTTGAATGGATTTTCATTAGTTAGTAAAATAGAGGAACAGAAAAAGATGTGATTTTGTATGTGCTTAGTTTATGTGTTACTGCTTCATAGAATCACAGGATCACAGGATGATAGTGGTTTGGGTTAGATGGGATCTCAAAGGTTATTGGCTTCCAGCCCCCTGTTATGGGCAGGGACATCCTCTACTAGGCCAGATTTCTCAAAGCCACATCCAACCTGTCCTTGGAAGTTTCAGGGATGGGGTATCCACAACTTCTTAGACCAGCCTGTGCCAGTTCCTCACCACCCTCACAGGAATTTCTTCCTTACATCTAATCTTAACAGCCCTCTTTCAGTCTAAAGCTTCTGCCCCCTGTTCTGTCACTACTTGCTCTTATAAAAAGTCACCCTCTTGCTTTCACTTAGGCCCTCTTCAGGCACTGGAAGTCTACTAGAAGGTCACATAATCACAAAACGGATTTTGTGAGGAAAAGACAAAAGAGTGAGGAAGACTACACAACCTCTCTGGGAAATCTGTTCCAGTTCTCAACCAGCCACAGAGTAAAGAAGTTCTTCCTCGTGTTCGGTGGAATTTCCTGTGCATCAGTTTCTGGCCATTGTCTCTTGTCCTACTGTTTATCACCTCTGAGAAGAACCTGGTCCATTGTCTTGATACCTCCCTTCAGATACTGATTGACATTCATGAGGTCCCCTCTCACTTGTCTCTTCTCGAGACTGGACAGGCCCAGCTCCCTCAGCCTGTCCAGCACTTGGGGGTATTGGCTACTCTTCCCAGCTTTGTATCATCAGTGAATTTGCTGAGGAGACACCTGCCCCTTCATCCAAGCCAGGGATCAATAAGTTAAATAGTACAGCATTTAACCTAGCGGGACACTACTAGGGACAGGCTTCCGGCTAGATTCTGTGACACTGATTGTAACCCTCTGGGATCTGTTGTTCAGCCAGTTCTTGATCCACCACATTGTCCACTCATCCAGCCTACATCCCTGAGTTTGTCTGAGGAAATCTACTGAAGTCAAAGTAGACAATATCCACTGCTCTCCTCCCATCCATCCAGGTGATGGTTTCATTGAAGATGGCAATCAGGTTGGTCAAGGAGGATTTAACTTGAATGAATCCATGCTGACTATTCCTGATCACCCATATGGATAGCCTTCTGAATGAGATGCTCCCATTACCTTTCCAGGGATCGAGGTGAGGGTGACTGGCTGATGGTTCCCAGGATCCTCATTCTTTCGCTTGTTGAACACTAGGTTGACCTTTGCTTTCTTCCATTGTGAGCAGCCTCGCAGTTGTATCTGCAAGCACTTGTAAATGAATCCCATCAGGACATAAGGATTTGTGGATGTCAAGTTTACCTACATGGTCTCTACCTCAATCTTCCTTGACCAAGGGAAAGTCTTCACTCCAGAACTGTTTGACCCTGGTCTCTTGGGTCAGAGAACCCTGAGAGTAGGTCTTGTCAATGAAGACTGAAGCAAAGAAGACATTCAATAAAGTGTCTTCTTCTGCCTTTTCTTCATTTTCTGCTACAAGAGTCCCTCCCTCCATTTAGCAAAAGGACCACATCATTCCTATTTTTCTTTCTTTATTGATGTATTTGAAGAAGTCCTTCTTGTTGTCTTTGACATCCTTGGCCAGATTTAATTCTAGTTTGGCCTTGGCTTTCCTTGTGTCATTTCTTTTAAATTTAACAACCTCTCTGTATTAATTACAAATGGCCAGATCCTGCGTCCATCTCCTGTGTATTTCCTGCCTGCTTACTCTGGATTAATGACAGGAGTTCATTGTTTATCCATGCAGGTCCCTAGTCCTATTTTCCCAATTTCTTGCTCATCAGTATACATCATTCTTGAGCCTGGAGGAAGACCAACTGTCTTTGACCTCCATTTCCTACAAAGCCTGTTCCATTGGATTCTTCTAATAAGATTCCGAAAGCCCATGGTTACAATTTTACTTGCTGTCCTGCTCTCTCCTCACCAGATATTGAACTTCAGAATCTCATTGTTACTGCAGCCAAGGCTGCCCCCAGCCTTCACACCTCCAATGAGGCCTTCCCTACTTCTTAATATGAGTTTGAACATCACAGCATTCTTCGTAGGATCCCCTGCTGTGACAGGCACTTGTCATAAATGCTTTCCAGGAATTTCCTGGACTGTTTTTGGGGCTCCTTCCAGCTGTTTGTAGAAGGTCTCATTTGCTTCCTCCTGATCAGGTGGCCTGTAGGAAACACCCCAGAGTCTTCTCTTCTCCAGGCTGAAGAATTCCAGCACACTTAGCCTGTCCTCACAGTGCGTGTTCTCCAGCCCTCCTCTGGACTCAGTTCAGCAGGTCCACGTATTTCTGGTGCTGGGGGCACCAGAGCTGGATGCAGTACTGCAGGTGAGGTTTCACAAGAAGAGAACGAATAGATATAATTTCCCTCTTATCCTGGCCATACTGCTTTGGATGCAGTCCAGGATACAATTGGCTTTCTGGGCTTCAAGTTCAGATGGTGCTTCGAGTGCTGTTGTATCATCAACTGCCCCAGTTCATTCTTCTTAGGACTTCTCTCAATCCACTTTCCACCCAGACTATACTTGTGCTTGAGATTGCCCTGACCCATGTACAAGACCTTTATACTTAGCCTTGTTGAGCTTGAAGTTTGCGCAGGCCACCCTCTCAAGCCTATCATGTTCCCTCTGGATGTCATCCCTGCCCTCCAGTGTCTTGGCCACACATTGTGACATCATCAAACTTACTGAGGTGTGCTCAGTCCCACTGTCCATGTCCCTGACAAAGACATTAGACAGTAGTGGTCCCAAAAGCAACATCTGAGGAGCACCACCAGCACTGGTCTCCACTTGGACATGATTTTTGAATGCCAACTCTTTGACTGCAACCATCTAGACAATTCCTTATCCACTGAGTGGTCTGTCTGTCAAATTCACATCTCTCTAATCTAGGGAAAAGGACTACATCAGATATTTTTCACAAGTCCAAGTATGTGAAATCAGTTGTTCTTTCCTCTTCTATGACAGTATAATCCCGTCATCGAAGGCCAGATTGATTAGACATAATTTGCCCTTTGTGAAACCATGTTGACTGCCACCAGTCATCTCCTTATTTTCCATCTGACTTAGCATAGTTTCCAGGAAGATCTTCTTCATTGTCTTGGTGGGCACATAGGTGAGAATGATTGGCCTGTAGTCTTACTCTTCTTCCCCTCTTGTTTTTTTAAACAGATGTTACAATTCCCTTTTTCCAGTCAATGGGAACTTCACCAGACTGCCACAACTTCTCAAATGTGATGGATAGTGGCCTGTTTCCTCGGAATGTATCTCATCATTCTGAGAAGTCCATTCTAATGGACTTCTGCACCATTAGGTTCCATGGACTTGTGCACCTTCAGTTCCTGAGGATGGTTGCAAACCTGATCTTGTCCTACAGTGTGTGGTTTCTCACTCAGCCTTTCCTCAGAAGAAAAATACTCCAGTCCCCTAACCAGTCCCCTGCAGTCTACAACTTCCTCACAAGTTGAATTGGATAAGTGTTGATCTCTTTGCTGAGCAGTGATATGATACGGGAAACTGGCAGGAAGCTGTGTTTCCTGGATATCAGGAAAAGGTTCTTCACTCTGAGGGTGGCTGGGCACTGGAACAAGCTCCCCAGTGGTCAAAGCACCAAGCCTAACAGAGTTCAGAAAGTGTTTGAACAATGCTCTCAGTCATATGGAGTGATTTTGGGGATTATCCTGTGCAGAGCCAGGAGCTGGGCTCTACTTGTGGGTTCCTTCCAACTCAGGATATTCTATGATACTATGATGATCTTTGTAGTCCTTCACTGGACCCTCTCCAGTAGTTTCATGTCTTTCTTAGCCTTCTGCAATTGGAGCAGTGTAGCTGGAGCACTTGCAGTGAAAACCGAGGCAAAAAAATTCATAGAGCACCTCAGCTTTCTTCATGGGTAACCACATTTCCTGTTCCCTTGCAGAGAGGGACCACATTTTTCCATCTTGCTTTTATCACCAACATACCTGTAGAAGCTTTTCTTGTTGTTCTTGATGTCTCTGGAGAGGTTTAATTCCATCAGAGCTCTAGCTTTCCTAGCCTTATCTCTGGCTTCTCAGGCATTCTCTTTGTATTCCTCCCAGACTACCTGTCCTTGCTTCTGCCCTTTGGTTTTTATCTGTCTGTGAGCTCCTTGTTCATCCATGCAGACCTGGCATTTCTGCCTCGCTTCCTTGTTGGGATGTAGTCCCTGAGCCTGGAGGAGATGATTCTTGAATATTAGTGAGTTTTCTTGGGCCTTTCTCCCAGCCAGAGCTTTATCCCATGGCTACTTCACCAGACAGATCCCTGAAGACTCTCAAGTCTACTCTCCTGAAGTCCAGGGTTTGTGCTTTTTCTTAGTGCCTTCATGGTTGGAGTAATGTCTAGAATGTTTCTAGCCAAGCAAAAGTGGCTTGGTAGTGAAATGTTATCCATGTGCATATAATCTCTTACAAGCAACATTTTTACCATTCCAGCCGCCAGTACTAATTGTGAATATTGTTTTGATGTTTTTGTCCCTGTACCTTTCTTATATTTTGCATCAATTATTTCTATAGGTATTGCCAGGCATCTGAAGTGGTTGAGTAAGACCTAAAGATTTGGAACAGTGGTGAGTAAATGAAATTCTGATCATATTTTCTGTGTTTTCACATGCTAAAGTTTTACTACTGTGAAGGAAAGATGAAAGATGTTCAGTAGTTTGTACCTTTTGAATATTTTCTTCTGAGCACCAAGTTCCTGTTCAGAACATTCAGACAACTTTTTTAAGCAGAAATTTTAAGGACAGGATGAGGTAGTCTCATTGGCTGATCTTGGTAAATGGAGCCTCTCCTCATATCACCCTGACTTTGAAAAAACTTTAAAGTAACAGTTCAACCTATACTTATTGAAGTGGTAACTTGACCTATGGTATTAAAATAATGATGCCTGAATTGGCTTTTTGGTGTAATGCAATTTTATATATTTAGCAGGTGAGAATTCTAGAATATCTGAAGTAAGTTAATAAATTACTTACTGAATTCAACTTACAAGCCGAATCCTTTTTTCTTTAATCTGCAATCTTTTTAGTTTTTAACTCTGCTTCTGCAAACTGTGGTATCCTTTGTAAAGTTATTCTCCTGATCCCCTATGCTTGTCACTGATTCTTTGCACTGTGTGTGCCAAATATGTATAATTTTGACTAGAGAAGAGTGCAAGAAGGATCTAAGGAAGAACTTTAAAAACTTCAAATACTTTAAAAATTGAGTTTTGTAATCTTTTTATAAATACATTATTTGCACTTCCCTGTCTGTAGGTGTTGGCTGTCAAAGAGAACCTTATAAATGCACAGATAAAATCAGTGTTACTTGTGGTTAATAATCATGTAACAGAAGAGAATCATAGAATCATTAAGATTGGAAAAGACCTCCAGCATCATGGAATCCAACCTTTGACCAAACACCACCATATTATCTAAGGACACACAGTGCCACATGCAGTTGTTTCTTGAACACTTCCAGTGAAGGAATCCCTGTGGAAACCATTCCAGTGTTTAACCACCTTTTAAGCCATACAATCCTTCCTGATGTCCAACCTGAACCTTCCCTTGATGTAGTTTGAAGCCATTTCCTCTTGTCCTGTTGCTGGGTCCTAGGAAAAGAGGCCAAAGGAAGAAGAGTAAAATGATATCTCCAAAAAGCAATTGCATTTTCTTATCAAGAGATAGTTATTTGGAGTAATGTAATGTTTCTAGTTCTCTGGTTTCTATGGCAGGGCCAATTTATTAGAAATATTTAATATTTAAGGGATTTTGTTGATTTCAGTACTGTTGGCAGCAAGTGTTTAGAACCCATGTATTTTGTTCCATGTGCTGGTGACCAATGGAGTGAAAAGCCTTTGCCTTGTTTTTTTTTGTTTTTTTTTTTCCCTGTAATGGCCTCTGAAAAGTATGTTTGCTCTTAATTAAATTAGCCTTTAGTTACAACTTGGAAGGCATCTATCAGTTTAGAATATTTGTATTCATGTGGGTCTATATTTACTATATCCTCTCTATTTCTGCTAGTATTTAACTAGAAAAACTAGATAAGTGAATTTAAAGTTTTTCAGTTAGTTCTGTATAATTCTTTTTTGCCTATATTTTAATCTGCCCTGTGTTCCCATCCTCCTCTGCCTGACAATTACCAGGACTAAACTCCTGTATCCATGTTATTATCAGTGGATAGATGGAAGGAAAGCATTACAGACAGTTCATATATCTATATTCAACAAAAAATACAGGTATTCTTTTCTTCAAGTTTGATGCTGTTTAAGAACATGATACTTAAGAATTGAAGAGACTGTTATTAAATTAGAATTGCTTTTTGGGTAGTGTTACAGACCAATTAAGGGGGAGTCCTATGACACTTAAAAACAGAACAGAAATGCTAGCATGTGCTTTAGTAACCAAACTTAAAAAGCAACTTGAGCGACTGTTAGCAGGAGCAGGGTGGAAACCAGTGTACAGGGCTAAGTGTAGTGGTGATGATAAAATTGCATAAATGATAAGATAAACTCTGTGAGGATCTAATATGCTTAAAAGAAAATTGAAATTATAGCCTCTCCTTCATAACAAAATATGTAAATAATACAGTCTCTCTCTAGAACACTACAAAGTTATTTTGTCTGCATTTTATTAAAAGGTATTGTATAATTTGTCTTGGGGAAACATTTGAAAATAGTTAAACACTTATTTGCATAAAAATCTTCAGTTGTAGTAAAATAATAAATAAGATTGTAACTGGAAGCAATAAATAAACAACTAAGATAAAACTTTAAAGATTCAAATTACCTTCTGCTAATCTCTTAATAAAATATTCAGTATTTTGCTTACTCTTTTGAGCATTCTCATAGTTCCTCAGTTGTGTGTGCTCCTTTTGTTGTAATGTAAGTAGGATAGAAGCTTATAATGCCTTTTTTAATAAATATGATTGTTAGACTCTGAAATTGTATTATGCAAGAAAGCATAAGTTATTTTTGTTTTCCATATAATACTAGCCAAGAAGTGATTGCTTACTGCAGGGGTGCTAAGATCCTTCCAGGACCTCACATCACAGCTGATGGTAATCCACACTCCAGTGAGATGACGCAGCAAAAGTAGATGCTGTGCTAGATGCTGGTCCTGGGCATCTCTGAAAAACAGCAGGTGTTAATGTGCTTGTGGAGTGTTAGCCTCAAAACTCTGATGGGTGATAGTGAGATCATTGAAGATGTGAACTTTTGATCCTCTCTTTTAATAGCTGAAGTTTCACCAGCCACTTGCTGATGTTTTTGACAGGTTGATACAAAGGTGCATTCTTGGGCTATGGACTTCTGTCATTGCAGCTACTCTGGAACCTGCCAGCTAATGTGACATATATTCTTCTGTATTATATTAAAATATATGTTTTTATTTGTTAGCCCTGTTCCTCTTCAGGTAATACACTTACCTGACTTTCCTAGATAAGATTCTTGGAGAGCTTTTGCCTTGGGAACAACTGGGCGAAATCGAGATGAAGGAAGGCAAGCAGAGTGTCTATTGTCAGCTCTTTCCTTGTGTGTGATAACCATCAGAGGAAGAAAAGCTGTGGTTTGCTCAAGATGTTCTAACTGCCATCTCTGTGCTGTGGTTTGCCATGTGATGGTATTTCATGACTTCAGGAATGATATTTTGTGTTTCTGATTAAGTCCTGCTATATCTTAAGCCTGAAATAGAAAACCTGTTAGTTTTGAAGTGAGTAAAGGGTCTCCCTCTGTGTGTTAAATCCATGTAGTTAATAGCAGAATACAGATGAGGAGAGATAATTGATTTTGGGGATTTGTGTTTGGTTTGGGATATGTGGTTCTGTTTATATCAATACAGTTTTGTACTATGTATGTAACAGCACAGAGTTTTTACTTTTAGAAGCAAAAAATAGATACGTGACCAGTGTCACTGTATTAATTTGGATTTATTAATGCCACTATACTGCTTTTCCTCTTTGAACCATCTCCTTTTTGTGTCTCTGCTTTGCCTTTTCTTTTTTATTTTTCATATATAGTTCATCTTGGTTTACTCCTTCTATGGAGAGCTTTAGTATGATCTAAAAATGCTAATTCCAAATTGCATCTCACTTCCATTTAATAGAAACAAAAATAAAAGTGGGGTTTTTTTCAATTTTCTTTCTTTTTGTCTGTCATTAGAGGGAAGAAAGGACATGTTACTGAGTTAGAAAAATATTATGGTTTCAAGTTCTTGGAAAGGCAGTGGGAACTTTCAGATAGTGTAAACCACATTGAACTAATAATCTGCTTACAGAGTAGCAAATGCAATGGTTCATTTTCATGTTATTATTTCTGGAACCTAGTGTGTGGTTCTTGACATGGAGATGCTGTAGCACAAGCAGTGAATAAATAGCAGTTGCTGCTACAGGAGGAGGTGTGATGTAGGGCTTAGAGCTGCCTGTCCCAACTCCTGCATTTGACTTCTGCCTCTGTTATTAACCTGCTAAGTGATATTAGGAAAGGTACTGATCTTACTCCTCTTGTCAACTTAGATTGCAAGGCCATTTGTCCACATATTGAGCCTTAGTCCTTATCACTGGGCTTTGTTGCCCTGTGGAGTCCTTTGCTGTAGTATTACAATTTTTCCTTGCAGAGTTTTCCATTAGCTCTCAGAAACTCACTGTGTTATGTGGAATTCTGAAGACACTTGAATATTCATTCTACAAGAAGAAAGCTAGTAATGTTTTCCAGAGCATGTTTTAATATTGCATCTGGTCTTGTGCAACTCAGGCTGATGCCAAAAGGGATACTTCAGCCTGTTCTTTCCCTCACTTGCATCAGTCCTCAGTTCCAAGGTGAGTTCAAGGTAAGCAGCTGATTCAGAAATAAAGCCCCCTAACTGCTAGTAAAGGAAAAGTAAATCAGGAAACTATGCTGGCCTGGCTTGTCCTGTGGATGAGAAATGACTAGCTGCAACAAAAGGGACAAAGACACAATAAGCAGCTGGAAGAGTGATGCTGTTTCTTTCAGCAACAAGTAATAAATATACCAGATGAGACATAGCATGGAAACCTAGCTTATTAAGAGCTACATTTTACAACCATATTTTCAACTCAACAGAAGAGTGTCTTGCAGTGGTTGTGACAGCCCAGGTACAGTTCTGATGATGTTAGTTGCTGATACTAGGTGTTCTTCACTGTTCTTCACATTTTTTTCTAATACAACTTTTTAATTGTTTTTTTTTTCCAAAAGTAATAGTTTTCTTTGTTATCTGCATTACAATTTCAAGGCATATTTCTGATGTCTAAATATAACATTTTATTTAATTTTAATTTAAATTGAAGTCAACTTAACCCTGCAAATTGGATGACAGGAGCTGGTCTTGATGTGATAGTTTCTACAGACCTTATATTCATAATTTCCCCTTTAAACACTGTCAAGAAACTTGATTTGTCCTTGAAAATTACTTGTGTAATTGGAGTTGAATCTTTGAAGGGCATTTTTCACTCACCGCTCTTTCTCTTAAAAATGTATGCAACAGATTAGATTGGTTTCTTTGATTTTTGCTTTCTTTGTGAGCCTCATGTAATAAGATACTGTGTTGAAAGACCTGTCTTCCTTGCTCACTGTAAG